AGGACCCAGATCTGTCCTTGAGTATGGCAATAGATCACTCTACAGTGGCCTGTTCTGAGTAGGACAAGACCCAGCAACACTTTTGGTCAATGCTGGAACATCTCTCAGGCATGAGCAATGGTGACATTTGAAGGATGGCTGGCAGCACTTGGCAGCGGGCCAGCTGTGCCTCAGTGGCTCTGGTGGTTCAAACCCACGACCCAGCCGACACTCTGGGCTCCAATCAGCGTGGTTAACCGGGAACAGCCATTCCCAGCTGCACTCAGGCATCTGAAAGACCCTTCCTTTCCCACAAAGCCTCTTGCAGGGTTTCAGGGAACAAATGGAAACAGTAAGGGGAAATGCATATAACTCTAATAGCATCACCTTTTGGTCCATGGGGGTAGGGGGAGGGCACTTCCCATGTTGAATTTCATCCTGACACCACCCTGGTGGGGGTAGAAGCAATGCCATTTGCTCCATCTCACACACATCACATCAACCCCCCAAGAGCCAGGACTGAGACTGGCTAGCAAAGCCAGGACCAGGAGCAACCGGGCCTCTGACTTTGGAGCCTTAGGGCAGACTGTTGGTGCCTGCAGATCCCATTCTAGTGTAGCCTGTGTGATCAGCCAGAGCTGAGCTTTCCTCTGCTGACAGAGCTTTCCCTCTTAAGGATATTGGTGGAACCATGGCCCCATCAGAATCTGTGTCCCTGGGAACACTCTTTTTCAGAGAACTCCAATGAGGAAGAGAAAGTGGGTCCACTGACTTCCATGTCTCTGAAAATAACCTTGTAAAAGTACATAAGGACCCAACACTGTGCTTATAATCAGACAGTTCGGGACCCTCAGCTCTGACAGCATCAACACTGGCCATCCCCTTTTCCTGTATGGGTCTCAAACTCTGCCTCTGGAACCTTGTTTTGAAGGCTGTTTCCAGCCAGAACAAGTGCCCACACTCTGCTCTCCCAACCCCATGCCCCTGCCATAGCCAGAAGGCTGAGGACAGACAGGGTCTTTGCTCCCCTAGACAGAGCTGGCCATGACTGAAGAACCCTCAGACTCAGGCAGAGCCCTTTGTCCTTTTTTGTCACTGTGCTGACCACCTTGGGAGGTGATTATGCTCCTTAAACCTTCTAGGAACACTTAAGGCCCCCAGCACTGCAAAAAAAATTAAATCAACTGAGATGAGACATGTTTTTCCAATTAGTTATAAACCATCCATGTTGGAGTTTTTGCAAAACTGGCTGGTTGCTTTCCCATTACCCAAGATTCCTCATTCTTTCTTTCTTTCTGCATAAATAATTTCACAAGGTTTTCAAGTAAATTTGGTACTAAAGGCCCATGACCATGAAATAAACAGGACACTCACAGCAAAGCTAAAGCCAAACTCCTCTTCCATGTGCCATGCTATGATAAAGGAGATGAAAAGTAACTTCCACCTACCAAACTTTCCTACCTCAGGCTTAAGACACACATCAACAGGTGCAATGATGTTTGTGTTGAGATATGCATTTCACTATATACGTGCATGCAATGAAAGATCTAAAATCAACACCTTATCGTCAAAATTGAAAGAGCTAGAGGAGCAATATCAAAAAAACTCAAAACCTAGCAGAAGACAAGAAATAACTAAGATCAGAGCAGAACTGAAGGAGATAGAGACATAAAAAACCCTTCAAAAGAAAAATCAATAAATCCAGGAGCTGGTTTTTTGAAAAGATCAATAAAATAGACCACTAGCCAGAATAATAAAAAAGAAAAGAGAAAAATCAAATAGATGCAATAAAAAATGATAAAGGAAATATCACCACAGATTTCACAGAAATACAAACCATAGTCAGATTTTTACAAACAACTGTATGCACATAAACTAGTAATTCTGGAAGAAATGGATAAATTCCTGGACACTTGCATCCTCCCAAGCCTAAACCAGAAAGAAGTCAAAACCCTGAATAGACCAATAACAAGGGCTCAAGTTGAGGCAGCAATCAATAGCCTACCAACTAAAAAAAGCCCAGGTCTGGATGGGGTCACAGTTGAGTTCTACCAGACATACAAAAAGAAGCTGGTACCACTCCTTCTGAAACTATTCCAAACCATCCAAAAAGAGGGAGTCCTTCCCAAATCATTTTATGAGACCAACATTGTCCTGATACTAAAACCTGGCAGAGACTCAGCAAGAAAAGAAAACCTCAGGCCAATATCCATGATGAACATAGATGCAAAAATCTTCAATAAAATACTGGCAAGCTGATTGCAAGAGCTCATCAAAAAGCTTATCCATTATGATCAAGTAGGCTTCATCCCAGGGATGCAAGGCTGGTTCAACGTACGCAAGTCTATAAATGTAATGCACCACGTAAACAGAACCAAAGACAGAAACCACATGATTATCTCAATTGATGCAGAGAAGGCCTTTCACAAAATTCAACAGCCTTTAGGTGAAAAACCTTCAATAAACAAGGTATTGATGGGACGTATCTCAAAATAATAAAAGCTATTTATGACAAACCCACAGCCAATATCATACTGAATGGGCAAAAACTGGAAGCATTCCCTTGAAATCTGGCACTAGACAAGGATGCCCTCTCTCACCACTCCTATTCAATAGAGTATTGAATGAGGACAACAAACATGAAAAAATGCTCATCACTGGTCATTAGAAAAATGCTAATCAAAACTATACTGAGATACCATCTCACGCCAGTTAGAATGACCATCATTAAACAATCTGGAGACAACAGATGCTGGAGGGAATGTGGAGAAATAGGAACACTTTTACACTGTTGGTAGGAGTGTAAATTAGTTCAACCATTGTGGAAGACAGTGTGGCAATTCCTCAAGGATCGAGAAATAGAAATTTCATTTGACTCAGCAATTCAATTACTGGGTATATATCCAAAGGATTATGAATCATTCTACTATAAGGACACATGCATACAAATGTTCATTTCAGCACAGTTTACAATAGCAGAGACCTGGAACCAACCCAAATGCCCATCGATGATAGACTGGACAGGGAAAATGTGGCACATATACACCATGGAATATTATGCAGCCATCAAAAACAATGAGTTTGTGTCCTTTGTAGGGACATGGATGAACCTAGAAACCATCATTCTCCGCAAACTGATCCAAGAACAGAAAATCAAACACCACATGTTCTCATTCATAGGTGGGTGTAGAACAATGAGAACACATGGACACAGGGAGGGGAGCACTACATACTGGGGTCTGTTGGGGGAAAATAGGAGAGGGACAACAGGGTGTGGGGAGTTGGGGAGAGAGAGCATGGGGAGAAATGCCAGATATAGGTGAAGGGGAGGAAGGCAGCAAAGCACACTGCCACGCGTGTACCTATGCAACTATCTTGCATGTTTTTCACATGTACCCAAAAACCTAAAATGCAATTAAAAAAAATAGCAGGGTGCGGTGGCTCACACCTGTAATCCCAGCACTTTGGGAGGCTGAGGCGGGTGGATTACTTTAGGTCAAGAGTTGGAGACCAGCCTGGCCATACCCCGTCCCTAATATAAATAGAAAAATGAGCAGGGTGTGGTGGCAGGCATCTATAATCTCAGCTGCTCAGGAGTCTGAGGCAGAATTGCTTGATCCTGGGAGGCAGAGGTTGCAGTGAGCCATTGTGCTCCATCCTGGGTGACAGAGATAGATTACATCTCAAAGAAGTTAAATAAAGCCCATCTTTTAAACAGTTCTCCTAGCAGATGAGGGTTAGAAGAGCGCTTCCTTACCCTGGTAGCTCTGAGTGCCCAGTCTGTGCCCTTGCCCACCACACTCGATGGGGAAACAGTAGAGCAGCCTCCACTGCGAGCTGTACTGAAGATCCCACCCTCACAGTGAGAGTTCCCTTTAGCCTGCACTTTGGGTTGGATGCATCCCGAGCTCTCAATGCATCGTGTCCTAAGGTTCCACCCTCCCCTTGGCCAGGAAGTATGTCTTGGTCTTCTGTCTTCAGGGTGCTGGTGGCAGAGCCTGACATGGAGTGAGTGCTCCATAGATGCTTGTTCAGTTTCCCAGGAACTCAGCAGGCTGGGCCTAACACCACTGCCTGCAAAGGCCTGGCAGGTGGAGGGACTCATGCCTGCTGCTCTTATAGAAAGAGGAGAGGAAGATGAATGGGAGTGTATGGAGAGTTGTCCTTTTAATAAGGAGAACCAGGAGCTGTAATAGGGGCCCCAACATAATTTATCTCAGGAAAGAGCAGGGCCCCTCTCCTCTGGGGCCGGTAGCCTGGCCTAACTTCTCTTCTCTCTTCTATTCAGTTTGAGATTTCATCTAAGCCAGCACTAGGCTGCCAAAGGCTTCAACCTCCTTCACCTTCTACTCTAATTCCAGCTCCTTGACAAGGGCAAGAGTTTTGGCTGGGACAGAATAACCAGCATGGAATGCCGGGAAATTCAGAACCACGTGTTCTTCAAATGCAGAAAAAAAGAGCTGTTTGCCATTGTGCTCAAAATACTTCTGAGGACACGAAACTCTCCCACTGGTCTGGGTAATTCTCCCCCTTCCTCCACACCTCCACTGTAAACCAAGAGACAGCGTGGCCAGCGAGTCCCAGCCCTGCAGAGACAGTTCTACCCAGCTCCTGTTCATGCCCAAGGTCTCTATTCACTTATTCAACAGTCATGATATGGAAGCCACTGCTTCAAAACACTGACTGTGTGGAGGGGGAAATGGAGCCAGGTTCTCAGCTGCCTGGTCCTGGCTTTACCTGCCTGATCCAGCGGTCTCCTGAGGCAGGAGGTTCTTTGAGGGGATCCGATAGCTCTTCAAAAGCCTAGGCAGAGAGCTACTGTCTTTGGGGTAGACACACTGGGACTGAATGCTTCAGAGGCCCTCTGTTTTGGCAGGGGCACCTGTGAACTTGGGCTCCAGGCTAGAGCATTCAAAGTTTTTTTTACTTTCTTTTGGAACATAACCATTCTCTTTGAGGTTTCAACTGAAAAATAAAGCTACCAGAATCCAAGAATGTGTCTCTGGATTGCTGGGGCTGATTATCCACTCAGGAGTGTAATGGAACAGAAGGAGTTAATTACGTTTTCAAGTCATGGACAGACTCTATATCTTCATTTTCTTATCATTGGGAGCATTCTGAGCTCAGAATTTTCCCAATGCAAAAAAAAAAAAAAAGGCTCTGAAGAGCCGGACCTGGGAACCTGGCCAGTTTCCTGATCCAATTTTTGGTAAACACCTCAAGGATGTTAATTACATGATGAAGACGTGGACAGTGTCCTGACTTGACCCTTCTTTGTTTTAAAAAGTATAAAAGATTGTTTAGCAGAAGCCGAACTGAGCTACGGTGGTGACTTGGTCTGGACTTGCGAAAACCTGTGCTGCTTTACTCCCAGTGTTGAAGTTAGTGAGCGTCTCTAGGTATCCTTGTAAATAAACTCTTTTTCTTTCCTTGTAAATAAACTCTCTTTCTTTTCTCTATATACCTCGGTTGGTGTTTTTTCTTCCCACGAATCTGCCTGAAAAGATTAGAAAATCCAAGCTTGGTACTGAGCAGTGCTCACACAAAATTGGCATAGTCGGCAGGATTCGGGGAGAAGGAGTGCATCATGCCTTTCTTTAAAAAAAATGTTAAAACTATTGTTAGTGACATTCCTGCTTGTGAAGATCCTGTGTTTGTTTCTGTCGCTCGTAATTTGGCCTCCGTCACTGGCCTAAGTGAAAATTGGGACGGCCGCCTTAGGACCGCTGATCCTGCACAGGTATGTAAAGTTTTGGACCTGGTGCCGGTAGATAAAGGAAAGGAGTTAGCTGCCATTAATAAGACGAGGCTGGATTTTGTTGTCTGCTTATAGGAAACAATACTTAGCTCGCCAAGCCCTTATACAGGAAAAATTGCAGTTAGAAAAAGAATTGGCTGATTTACAAGGCAAATTGTCTATGTTACAATGTCAGAAATTTATCTTTGGTGACCAGGCAAGAATATATCAGGGAGCAGCCGAAAAGGCGCTGTACGGTGTGCACAGTATAATTATAGAAAACGAAAGGGGAAAGTGAATGCAAAGAAGGTGCATGCTGTCATTGCAACTGCTAAAGCTGGTGGGACCCTGATACTTGGGATGGTGACATTTGGGATGATACTGATGAGGAACCTGATTGGGACGAGCTAGATGAAGAAGCTAGGAAGTATCCCCCTCCTCTGCAAGCTAAGCCGCTAGCTCATCGGCACCAGAAAACGGCAGCCGACGGGCGGGCAGAAACTTATTTAATACAAGATGATTTTACAAAGCAGGAAATACAGGATATTCTTCTTAAATTTACGCAGAAACAAAATGAGTCCTTGTTAGATTGGATGGTGCGTATAGCAGATATGGGGGCAGGAGGTATTAGAATTGACCATCAGGATGCTGGTAAATTTATCACAGTCTCCACCAGCCCTACCGTGCAAACTGCTTTTAGAGACCATCAGCAGGCAGGAGGCAATGATGGAGCAGGGACGATGACTACCATGTTAGAGTTAGCTGCTAGAGGTTGCACAGGACAATATCCCTTAGAGTCAGCATGGCCAAATGATGATCGCCCTTGGTATACATTACAAGATGGCATGAAGAAGTTAAAGAGAGAAGCCATGAGGACAGCTATTGCCTTGGGTCAGGCTGATACCTACTTAACCATCGGCCTAATGCCCACGCATTGCAGTTTATTAATTAAGACAGCTCCCCCTGCCTATAAGCACCTGATGATTACCTTGTTACTGAATGAGACTGGGAACCCTATTGATGGTATTTTAGAAAAGATGGTAGAGCTAGGAGATATGGGAGAGTGGAACCAGTCCTCAAGAGAGTCCAATAAAGAGGGGAAAACAGAGTGAGTAGGAAGGAAATGTTCCAGGCTTTATTAAAAGCTGGAATGAAACCTGACAAATTAGATGGATTGCCAACTAGTGAGTTGTAGGCTCTGTATAAAGATAAAGTTAGAACTGTGAAGAAAATACAATTTGGCAATGATACAGAGAAGACAAAAATTAACCCTTTTTTTAAAACTACTGAAAAGACTGAAGCTAAAGAAACCCCCGAGGTTAAACAGATCTATCCTTGGGATGATTTGTTTAAAAGTCAATGACTTGTTAACCAAGCCTCAGTATCAAGGAAATACTATGACATTCGTCCCCATGTCCCCATAACAATTTTTTAGAAAAATGGCTCTATTACAAAAACTCGTGCTTTAGTAGATACTGGGGCGGAGGCTTCCCTTGTTTATGGTAATCCAGCAAAATTCAAAGGTGTACATACTACTATTACCGGATTAGGAGGATCAGAAATTAGTGCTAAGCAAGTGGATTTAGAAATAAAAATAGGACATACTCCAGAAAGAAATTATACTGTAATGATTGTGCCTATACCAGAGTACATCCTAGGGATGGACATTCTAAGGGGCATGACGTTACATCTAGAAGATGGGAAATACAATTTTGCTATTGCTAAATTAACCTACAAGATCTTACCTAGTATTATTATTGGAAAATTGTTGATGAAGCCTCTAACATTACCAACCCCAACAAAAGTTATCCACTGCAAGCAATATAAAATACCAGGTGGCCATAATGAAATTACTGACACTATTAAAAATCATGTAGAAGCTGAAGTAATGGTCCCATGTACTTCTCCATGGAACAGTCCTATTTGGCCTCTTCGTAAATCTGATGGATCCTGGCGCATGACTCTAGATTATAGAAATTTGAATGCTGTGACACCTCCATTGCATGCTGCAATACCAGATACTATATACATCATTGAACAAATCCAAAAGCACCCCGGTCAGTAGTATGTAATAATAGAGTTAGCTAATGCCTTTTTCACAATCCCAATCAACCCGGACCAATGGCAATACTTTGCTTTTACCTGGAATGGAAGGCAATACACCTTTACCAGACTACCACAGGGATATAAACATAGTCCCACTCTCTGTCATAAAATCGTGGCTGAGCATTTAGATCAACAGAATTTTCCCAATGTGATTTTACACCATTATATTGATGATATTATGATTCAAGGCCATAATGAAATAACTATGCAACAAGAATTACAATCTTTAACTGAACATTTGATCAGTAAAAGATGGAAGATTAATCCAACAAAAATACAGGAACCCAGTCAACATGTAAAATTTTTAAGAACATATTGGGATCATGGCTTACGTGCCATTACCCCAAAAGCAAAACAGAGAATATTACATTTTCCCCCTCCCTCTACCAAAAAGGAGGCACAAAAATATATTGGCTTATTTGGATACTGGAGACATCATATACCCCATTTGGGAATGCTATTGCAACCACTTTTTAAAGTAACTAGGAAAAAATACCGATTTGAATAGACTCAAGATCAACAGTACGCTTTCGAGAGAACTAAAGAGGCAATCCAGCAAGCCTTAGATTTATGGCCCCTACAGTGAGGACCTGTTGAATTAATGACTAGTGTAGAAAGTGAACATGCTAATTGGAGTCTTTGGCAAAAGCAGAATAGTAAACAAGTTCCATCAGAATTTTGGTCTCGAAAATTGCCCCAATGTAAAAACCCATATACCCAGTTAGAACAACAATTATTAACTGCTTACTGGGCCTTATCTGAAACAGAACATTTAACCACCGATAAAGAAGTAATCTTACGCCCTCAAATTCCAATAATGCAGTGGGTACTTTCTGACCCGGTATCACATAAGATTACAAAATCGTGCTAAACCAGGCCCCACTGGAGTTTTGCAGCTACATGAAAAGGTTTTTCCTTGCCCAACTGATGAAAGTAATCATGATCAACTCGTTAAACATATTGACAGTAAAGGATATGACTCTTTAAGTAAGGAACAACAGAAGCACGCATGGTTTACAGAGGGCTCTGCTAGATACATAGGGGGAAAGCGGCACTGGAAAGCTATAGCATATGATCCCGCTCTGGACTGTACACTAGAAGCCAGTGGAGCAAACGGCAGCAGCCAACCTGCCGAATTACACGCAGCCCGGCTGTGCCTGGAAAAAGAGTATGGGGGAGAATGTCATGTGTTCACAGATTCCTGGTCTGTGCATATGGGATTATTAACCTAGATTGCACAATGGCAGCATGATAATTAGAAGATTCGTGACCGTGATTTATGAAGAAAGGACTTATGGCAAAATATATGGATTGTATTACAAACTACTAATGTTTCTGTTTTCCACGTAGACGCTCACGTGCCTACTGACTCTATTGAACGTATTTACAATAAGAAGACTGACCAATTAACTAAAATTAGCTCTAATACTTACACTGAAGATCATCCCAAGTGCGCAAAATGGGTGCAAGAACACACTGGACACGCAGGAGCCAAAACTATGTACAGGTGGGCGCAACAGAGAGGCATATACCTGCCATTAGATGTATGTAAAACCATCACAACACAGTGTCCAGTTTGTAACCAAGAACAGTTGCAAAATGTCCCCCGTATCGTCACAGGAGAATTAACTCGAGGAAAACAAGCGGCACAAATTTGGCAAATAGATTACATAGGGCCGCTCCCCATTTCTAAAAGGTGCGCTTACATATGCACTATTGTAGATACTTATTCTGGTGTGCTTATTAGATGTCCCTATAAACGGGCCACACAACAAAATACTCTAAAAACCTTAGATTATATTATTTTATATTATGGAGTGCCATTACAAATACAAAGCGACAACGGATCTCATTTTAAAGGTAAGTTAATTACTGATTTCTGTGCTCAATATAATATAGAATGGATTTATCATATACCCTATTACCCACAAGCAGCAGGCCTCATTGAAAGGATGAATAGGTTATTAAAAGAAAAACTACGGAAATTAACCAATCCAATGTATTCAGGATGGAAAACCTTTTTATTACCAGCCTTACAACAACTTAATAATAGACCCCTAACTAGTGGCCAAACCCCGTTGCAACGGATGATATATTCCTCTAATACAGTTGAGATCAGCTCCCAAATAACACATGAGCCTATAACTATCTCCTGGTAGAGATTCCACCCAGATGCAATACAACCTGGGAATGCTACTAGTACTGCTGCAGGTTATGATTTATTTAACTACTCTGTAACTAAATTAAATAGCAAAACTCAACATGTAATACCCACTGGCATAGGTTTACAGTTACCTTCAGGATATCATGGACAAATAGCTGCTCGATCTAGTCTAGCACAAAAAGGAATGACAATCTTAAAGGGAATAATTGATGCAGATTATTACGGTGAAATCGAAGTGCTTTGTTATAACCTTGGTGAAGAAGATATCATCTTGCCTAAAGGCCACTGAATAGCACAACTATTAATAATTCCAGTTTTACAAAACACAGTATGGGAATCACAAAGGTTCCCTCCAAAATCAGCTCATTTAGGATTTGGCAGTACTGATGAAAAGAAACAAATATCAGGTCATGTTTGGGTACAAACATCTCCCCATAAACCATTACAAGCTGGAGAGATAGTAGCACAAGAAGAAATACCTGTGTATATGTCCTAATTTCCCCCGCTGATACTCCTATATTAGTACCTACTAATCATCTGTTTCATCGTGTATAGATTTGTGTATTTACAGGTATTATTGTCAGCACTCACGTCTGGATTGCTTGGACCATTTCCCCCAGACAAATCTTGTCTCACCAAACTACTTCCAGCAATGGACACATGATTCTACAGTAGGGATGGGTCAACTCCACAAAAGTAAGAAGTCAAGACTCTTACAACTGTTCTGCTAATCAAGTTTGTCACCATACCAATCTTACTATTAGTGGAGATACCAACACTACACTTACCTATTGGATGGGACAGAAACCTGCTCGAGGCATAATTTATAGTGATAATAGTATTACTATTAATGCCACTTCTAAAGTGAATATTTCCTGTTGTCAACAAGATTTAACTACTATTCTATATACTAACATGTTTTCAAAAGCTATTTAGAGAAACCAATTGTCTTGTAATGAAACCACTACAGTATTTGCATTTAATACTAGTACATATCTATGGTGTATTAATTCTAGTGCAATCAACAATAGAAATATATGGGCACAACATTTACATGTAATAATTCATAAAACCCCGACATACAGTCAACCTACTATTGTACATATACCTCATGCTTGTACTAACACCACCTTTTTTGCACAGCAGTATCAATTACAATTAAATGTAACTTTCCCAAAATTACATCCCTGTGCTAGACGAAAACGGGAATGGTATAATACATTACTTGGCAGAGTAAGAACAGGTATTAGACTTGCTAAAAGCTTTAATTTAAATAGCTTATCATACAAATTAAAAAAAATACTAGGAAAAATGCCGAATTAGCTACTAGCCTTACTGCTAATTGGATCCCTACTGTAATAAGCCCATTAACCTCTAATCTTGCTTATCAAAAGACATTCTTAGAGATATTTAATCGAACTATAGTATCTACTACTACTAATATTACTTACCTATTTACTTCGAATGTTCTCTTCAATACTTATTTAGTTACATACAAATACAAAATCTACAACAGGAGTTACCATTAAGAAAAGTACACTGGTCTGAATTTTTAATACTTTCCAAACAACGCCATGCAGATATATGGGTAGAAGATCATAATCCCTTTTATTGTACCACCACATATTGTTATAATATAATAACCTATCATATACCCCAAAATACTACTATGCTATGTCCCTATCATGTGCTGCCAATTCCATACCCTTATTATTATTTGCAACCAGAATTTTATGGTACCCACATTGACAATAGAAATATAACATATAAAATCAATGATTGTGCTGTAACTACAAAAGGATTAGTATGCACTGATTTACAACAACAGATGGAGCCATGTCGATTGCATTTTTCTGTTAATCATTGTATTTTTACCTTATTACAAGTGATTACACTGCCCTTTTTAAAGTCCAACCCATACATTATGTATTGTATCCAATCGATCTGAAGTATTGTCATATATGCAAGTTGATTTTCCATTTGTTAGATGCATTTATAATATCTCTATCTTTCCCTGGCATAATTCTACTATTTATTTAACCCCAATCATTGACTATGAAAATATCACTTTCACCCCAATAAGCCTGCCCCAACAAAAGTTAGAAACCTATTTAAATCTAACTTCTATATTATATAAAAATAAAGCTTTAAATCGGACATTACAGAACTGAAATCGACAATTAAGTGAATATAAACTACAAACCACCATAGTAAGTCATAAACTGCAGAACTATTCCCATGCTATAGTGACAGATAGTAATTCTAACTAGTAGGATTAGTTATTTACATACTCATCAGTGACATATAGATTCGTCCCACTGTTCATGACTGTATTCATTTTAATGATTATTACTATATGTAGTTGTTACTGTTCTTTGTACTTATATCAACGCATTAAGAATTTAATGATGCATTTACTTACAACTATTATGTGTACAATAAGTCCGCCCATACCTAAGGCCGAATTGTAATAGAACAGAAGGAGTTAATTACGTTTTCAAGTCATGGACAGACTCTATATCTTCATTTCCTTATCATTGGGAGCATTCTGAGCTCAGAATTTTCCCAATGCAAAAAAAAAAAAAAAAGGCTCTGAAGAGCCGGACCTGGGAACCTGGCCAGTTCCCTGATCTAATTTTTAGTAAACACCTCAAGGATGTTAATTACCTGAAGAAGACGTGGACAGTGTCCTGACTTGACCCTTCTTTGTTTCAAAAAGTATAAAAGATTGTTTAGCAGAAGCCAAACTGAGCTTCGGTGGTGACTTGGTCTGGACTTGCGAAAACCCGTGCTGTTTTACTGCCGGTGTTGAAGTTAGTGAGCGTCTCTAGGTATCCTTGTAAATAAACTCTTTTTCTTTCCTTGTAAATAAACTCAATTTCTTTTCTCTATATACCTCGGCTGGTGTTTTTTCTTCCCACGGATCTGCCTGAAAAGATTAGAAAATCCATGCTTGGTACTAAGCAGTGCTCACACAGGAGTTGGGGAGATGTGGGCAGCTATGGAATCTTCTCAGCAATAGGGGGTGCCTTCCAGCCTCTTTGGGCTAAGACTTTGGTAGGAGATTGTAGGGTCCAGATTCCAGAGCAAAGGGCCAGGTGTCAGTCACAGGGACCGAGGCAAGCTGAAGGCCAGACACCAGACCTGGCTGTTCCTGACCTCCCCACCCATGAATCCCGGATGCAGAGCAGGTGATAGATGAAGTTCAGAAGAAAGAACTCCAGGGTAAATGGGAATGAGAAAATTGGTCCTCCACATTCCCATGCTGGAGGGAAGAAAAGGGAGGGTGGCTAGGATCTAAATGTTTGCTATGGTTACAGCCTAAAGACCCTGGAGCCTTGAAAGATGTTTGATTTTAAGCCTTACAATAGTCCAATGAGGAATGGATGATCTCCTCAATGAGGGAAGAAACAAAGGCTGAGAGAGTTGAGGGGATTCCCCCAAGGTCATATAACCTACAAATGCTCAGGATGGTGCTGATGCGGGCCTGTCTAACTCCCAATACAGCCCAGGTTCAATCACCCCCCACCACTTCTGCTTTTGCAATAATAGTGTATGCCACATATTCTACCAGTTACTTTATGAAAGGACGTCAATAATCTTTAGCGATATCCCAAGCCATAAGGGGTAGCTCCTGTTCAAAATATCCTGTAAATCAGGTCATGCAAGATCAGAAATGCACCCACAACTGTTACAGGTGCTGTGCTAGCCACTGTTTGGGGAACTCAGCCTAGGAATATGAGTGAAGAGACAACTCACAAAGAAAAGCATATCACTTCCAGCCAAACGAAGCTTCATAAGTGAAGGAAAAATAAAATCCTTTGTGAAAAATCAAGTACTATGAGATTTTGTCACCACCAGGCCTGCTTTACAAGAGCTCCTGAAAGAGGCACTAAATAGAAAGGAACAACCAGTACCAGCCAATCCAAAAACATATTGAATGGTAAAGAGCATCAACAAAATGAAGAATCTGCATCAACTAACAGGCAAAACAGCCAGCTAGCATCAAAATGGCAGTATCAAATTCACACATAACAATATTATCCCTAAATGTAAATGGGCTAAATGCCACAATCAAAAGACACGTACTGCCAAATTGAATAAAAAGACAAAACCCATCGGTTTTGGTGTGCTGTGTCCAGAAAACCCATCTCACATGCAAGAATACACAAAGGTTCAAAATCAAAGGGATGGAGGAAGATTTACCAAGCAAATGGAGAGCAAAAAAAAGCAGGAATTGCAATTCTAGTCTCTAATTAAATAGACTTTAAACCAACAAATATGAAAAGAGACAAAGAAGGACATTACATCATGGCAAAAGAATCAAAGCAACAAGAAGAGCTAATGATCCTAAATATATATGCACCCAATACATGAGCACGCAGATACGTAAGGCAAGTTCTGAATGACTTACAAAGAGATTTACTCTCCCTCACAGTAAGAGTGGGAGACTTTAGCATTCCACTGTCAATATTAGACAGATCAACCATAGAGAAAATTAACAAGGATAACCAGGACTTGAACTCAGACCTGGACCAAGCAAACCTAATAGACACTTACAGAACTCTCCACCCCAAATCCACAGAATATACATTCTTCTCGACACCACATCACACCTACTCTGAAACTGACCACATAATTGGAAGTAAAACACTCCTCAGCAAATGCAAAATAATGAAAATCATAACAGTCTCTCAGACCACAGTGCAAACGTTAGAACTCAGAATTTAGAAACTGACTCAGAACCACACAGCTTCATGGAAACTGAACAACTGGTTCTTCAATGTTGGCTGGATAAACAATGAAATGAAGGCAAAAATAACGATGTTCTTTGAAACGAATGAGAACGAAGACACAACATACCAGAATCTCTGAGACACATATAAAGCAGTGTCTAGAGGAAAATATATAGCAATAAATGCCCACATGAGAAGCAATGAAAGATCGAAAATCAACACCTTATTATCAAAATGGAAAAAGCTAGAGGAGCACTATCAAAAAAACTCAAAACCTAGCAGAAGACAAGAAATAACTAAGATCAGAGCAGAACTGGAGATACAGACACAAAAATCCCTTCAAAAAAAAAAATCAATAAATCCAGGAGCTGGTTTTTTGAAAAGATCAACAAAATAGACAGACCACTAGCCAGAATAATAAAGAAAAGAGAGAAGAATCAAATAGATGCAATAAAAAATGATAAAGAGAATATCACCACAGATTTCACAGAAATACAAACCATAGTCAGATCATTACAAAAAACTCTAAGCACATAAACTACTAACCCGGGAAGAAATGGATAAATTCCTGGACATTTGCATCCTCCCAAGCCTTAACCAGAAAGAAGTCAAAACCCTGAATAGACCAATAACAAGGACTCAAGTTGAGGCAGCCATCAATAGCCTACCAACTAAAAATAGCCCAGGTCTGGATGGGTTCACAGCTGAATTCTACCAGACATACAAAAAAGAGCTGGTACCACTCCTTCTGAAACTATTCCAAACAATCCAAAAAGAGGGAGTCCTTCCCAAATCATTTTATGAGACCAAAATTGTCCTGATATGAAAACCTGGCAGAGACTCAGCAAGAAAAGAAAACTTCAGGCCAATATCCATGATGAACATAGATGCAAAAGTCTTCAATAAAATACTGGCAAGCCGATTGCAAGAGCTCATCAAAAAGCTTATCCATTATGATCAAGTAGGCTTCATCCCAGTGATGCAAGGCTGGTTCAGCATACGCAAGTCTATAAACGTAATGCACCACGTAAACAGAACCAAAGACAAAAACCACATGATTATCTCAATTGGTGCAGAGAAGGCCTTTGACAAAATTCAACAGCCTTTAGGTGAAAAACCTTCAATAAACTAGGTATTGATGAAACATATCTCAATATAATAAAAGGTATTTATGACAAACCCACAGCCAATATCATACTGAATGGGCAAAAACTGGAAGCATTCCCTTGAAATCTGGCACTAGGCAAGGATGCCCTCTCTCACCACTCCTATTCAATAGAGTATTGAATGAGGACAACAAACATGAAAAAATGCTCATCACTGGTCATTAGAAAAATGCTAATCAAAACTATACTGAGATACCATCTCACGCCAGTTAGAATGACCATCATTAAAAAATCTGGAGACAACAGATGCTGGAGGGAATGTGGAGAAATAGGAACACTTTTACACTGTTGGTAGGAGTGTAAATTAGTTCAACCATTGTGGAAGACAGTGTGGCGATTCCTTAAGGATCTAGAAATAGAAATTCCATTTGACCCAGCAATTCCATTACTGGGTATATATCCAAAGGGTTATAAATCATTCTACTATAACGACACGTGCATACAAATGTTCATTTCAGCACAGTTTACAATAGCAGAGACCTGGAACCAACCCAAATGCACATCGATGATAGACTGGACAGGGAAAATGTGGCACATATACACCATGGAATATTATGCAGCCATCAAAAACAATGAGTTCGTGTCCTTTGTAGAGTCATGGATGAACCTAGAAACCATCATTCTCAGCAAACTGACCCAAGAACAGAAAATCAAACACCGCATGTTCTCATTCATAGGTGGGTGTAGAACAATGAGAACACATGGACACAGGGAGGGGAGCACTACATACTGGGGTCTGTTGGGGGGAAATAGGAGAGTGACAGCAGGGGGTGGGGAGCTGAGGAGAGATAGCATGGGGAGAAATGCCAGATATAGGTGAAGGGGAGGAAGGCAGCAAAGCACACTGCCATGCGTGTACCTATGCAACTATCTTGCATGTTCTTCACATGTACCCCAAAACCTAAAATGCAATAAAAAAAAAAAATAGCAGGGTGCGGTGGCTCACACCTGTAATCCCAGCACTTTAGGAGGCCGCGGCGAGTGGATTACTTTAGGTCAAGAGTTGGAGACCAGCCTGACCATACCCCATCTCTAATAAAAATAGAAAAATGAGCTGGGTGTGGTGGCAGGCATCTGTAATCTCAGCTGCTCAGGAGTCTGAAGCAGAATTGCTTGATCCTGGGAGGCAGAGGTTTCAGTGAGCCATTGTACTCCATCCTGGGTGACAGAGCTAGATTCCATCTCAAAGAAGTTAAAGCCCATCTTTTAAACAGTTCTCCTAGCAGATGAGGGTTAAAAGAGCGCTTCCTTACCCTGGTAGCTGAGTGTCCAGTCTGTGCCCTTGCCCACCACACTCGATGGGGAAACAGTAGAGCAGCCTCCACTGCGAGCTGTACTGAAGATCCCACCCTCACAGTGAGAGTTCCCTTTAGCCTGCACTTTGGGTTGGTTGCATTCCCGAGCTCTCAATGCATCGTGTCCTAAGTTTCCACCCTCCCCTTGGCCGGGAAGTATGTCTTGGTCTTCTGTCTCCAGGGTGCTGGTGGCAGAGCCTGACATGGAGTGAGTGCTCCATAGATGCTTGTTCAGTTTCCCAGAAACTCAGCAGGCTGGGCCTAACACCACTGCCTGCAAAGGCCTGGCAGGTGGAGGGACTCATCGACCCATGCCTGCTGCTCTTACAGAAAGAGGAGAGGGAGATGGGTGGGAGTGTATGGAGAGTTGTCCTTTCAATAAGGAGGGCCAGGAGCTTTAATAGGGGCTTCAACATAATTTATCTCAGCAAAGAGCAGGGGCCCCTCTCCTCTGGGGCCTGTAGCCTGGCCTAACTTCTCTTCTCTCTTCTATTCAGTTTGAGATTTCATCTAAGCCAGCACTAGGCTGCCAAAGGCTTCAAACTCCTTCACCTTCTACTCTACCAGCTCCTTGACAAGGGCAAGATTGTTGGCTGGGACAGAATAACCAGCATGGAATGCCGGGAAACTCAGAACCACATGTGCTTCAAATGCAGGAAAAAAAAGCTTTTTGCCATTGTGCTCAAAACACTTCTG